TATGCACCCTGTGCCTGAAAAAGGTAGCCGTACCGACCCTGCACACTATCGGTCAATTTGAATTAACTCCATACTGTGCACGGGATCATGGAGCGTATATTGAACGCCCACCTCATGACATTCCTAGAGCAAAACGATCTCCTCAGTGATTGCCAGTACAGGTTTCACCGAAATCGATCTACTGGGGGCCTTCTTGCGTATGCCACTCACATATGAGGCGAAGCCCTCGAAAACAATGGTGAATCACTTGCTGTTTCCCTTGATATTTCGAAGGCCTTTGACAGAGTGTGACACGCTAGCCTACTGGGCAAGTTTTCATCGTACGCCTTATACCCTGGCCGGATTGACTGGGTGAAGATCTTTCTGAGTGGACAATTTCTCCAAGTCATCATTGATATATGCTCGTCCTTGTAATATTTTGTTAAAATACAACCTCTAGTATAAAAACGAACTTCAATATAGCATGTATACAGCTTGCACGCTGCTTGAGTATGATGACGACTTATGTTCGCGTTATTAATCTTTAAACTGTGCGTAATTAAATATTAAAATTTTATCCTTAATTGAATGAGCTTAGCAAATTTTAAGTTTTAAGATTTATCATATTTTGATATATTTTTTACGAAAAATTCCAGAGATTTAATAGATTATTTCTTATGTATTTGGTAGTTTAATAAATTTAAAATCACCTTCTCGTATGCTATGTATGATTAAATTGTGAGTATTAATTTTTGACAAAAATGATATAATGGTAATATTCTTGTAAATGATCTGAGTAAAGTTTATGACTAATTTACATCCGTAAATTAGTCATAATCTTTACTCGTGAATGAAAAATATTGAAAGATATATATAAGTAAAATGTGTGATAGGTAGATAAATTATCGCATGTTAGCATATAAACATACAATCAGCCTGATCAGCTGAAAGTTTGGAAAACCTAATAACCGATTAACTTATTAAAGTTGTTCGGAATTCGGATGCGATAAAATGCTGAATGAGTTTTAATGTATTGGTAATAAGAGAATTAGGATTTATTAAGAATTGTAGAAGAATATTGTTCACTATTTTGATTATGTAGCATCAGGAGACGTATACTTGAAAGTAATGGTATAATTAAATAATCTATATATGCATATGACATTCACACGCTCGACCATCGCTTCTCTTTCAGACTGGATTTGATGTATCTCTCCACAACTATGCCGTCACATAAATAGGTTAGAACGAGTGCAAAAGAAATTCAATAAGTACCATTATTTCTGTAGTAAAAAAAATACACAGGCAATTAACTTACGAGTACATTGAAAGACTAAATAATTAAAATAATATGATTTCATTAAATGATCTAGAGCGCTTATGGACTTGTGCTTGTTATATAAAATCGTTAACAATAAAATTAGCTGGAATAATCTTTTGGATAAAATATCATATGTTGTTCCTAGACCTAATTCTAGAATGAGAAATCATAGTTTATTTCAATTAACAGAACTTTAAAAACTTCTAATGTAATTTCCAAAGTAGTCGATCTTAACATATTTAACGATTCTTATTCCACTATTAAAAATAAAATTTAAAAATATCTTTCTAACAAAATTAAGACACAGAGAGATGTTGTTGTAATTTTTTTTTGTTTCATGCTTCAAAATAAGTTATTTTGTTATACTTTTTTCGTTTTTCAACACTAAAGTGCGTTACTTATTATTTTACTTTAACATGTACGTTAGCCTGTAAATATGATATGTACTAAGCATTAGACTAATCACGTATATCTTAGACGTAGTCTCTCATTACCGTACGAGAAAGCTCAAGGTTGATCAGTTTGCTATGAAGAGGGTTTTGCTTGGAGTTTGGCTGGGTGATAGACTTCGTGACGGGGATGTCCGCAGTCAAATGAAAGTAACCAAGGTATCCCAACGGATTGCCTGATGTGGCAAATGGCCCTCCATATAGCCAAAACCATATAGCAGCAACCGACAACCGATGGGGAAAAGGATTTCGAGTAGCCGTCTAGTACCGGTAAGCAAAGTAAGGGCGGTTCCTCACTAGATGGAGTGACTACCAGGTAAGAAATACATAAGTCAATGGATACAGTTGGCTCAGATTCATGTTTTGTGGCATTCCTTAGACTTTAGTGATGATGTAAATAATGATGATAATATAAGAGGCTACTAGGGGTTCCTCAAAAAGTTCCAGTAGCAGCCACCGAAGTACACCTTCAGGTCACTACATAAAGACCAAGACGTATAAAGCTTCGTTCAGATCTATAGACATTGAGCGTGCCAGACACGTGCCGTGGCAGACGTAGTAATATTCTTTTATACACTATATATAGATATATTCACATCTAGCGTACGCAAGCAGAGTGTGTCCGCGCAGACACGGGCCGGCACTGGCCAGCATCAACAAGAATGTTTTATCTGTGCTGGTGAGTGTCTGCGGGTGTCTAATATACATTTGGGTATGATAAGTGTGATCGCAGGTACAGTGACAATCAAAAAAAAAAGATTACGCATGGAAACAAGGAGCAGAAAAACTTCATGTTTCATGTAAGAAGAATTTTATCTATGAAAAATCTTGTAAGCACGTGCACTTTATAGTTTAACTGATGACGTCTGTTCATGCCGGGTGTGTGAGATGTGAAAACTGTTGTCTGTGCGGTGTCTGCCACGTTACGTGCTGGGCACGCTACGTGCTTGTAGATCTGAACGAAGCATAAGTATATTTATATATAAATCATATCTACTTACTTTTAGCTAAACAAAGTATTGCAATAAAAAATTGTGATTATTTATTTAGTTATTTTTATTTATTTAAAGTTTTATGCACCAAACAAAAATTGTACATATGGCCAACTGAATACCTTAAGGAATTCTCTCCCAGTCAACCATTAGAGTAAACACAGATAAATATGTGGGAGGTAGTGGAGCAAAAGTAAACTAATAATGAGAAAAAAAGGTAACAAAGTTCGAATAAGCCAGAATATATATATCAAGGTAAGATATATATTATTATAAAAATATCTTACCTTGTCAAGTATGTATCAAATATGGTTTTTCGAATATTTTGTATTACTACATCGATCTTTTTCAGCACGAGCTGTTGCAAACAAGCGATACAGTATCAACTCCCGACGGCGGCCGAGCGCGGAGTGAGGCAAAGAGTATAGTAAAGTAAGTTTTTACATATAGCTGCTCAAAAGACCGATAATTTCGGGATCTAACAGCGGAATAAAAAATTATAACTAAACAAAATAAAATTAAACTGCCATTTACATTCAATGGCTTCCCACATGATAGATGAAGAAAGGACATTGTTCTGCGTCCATACAATGTTCGCCTAAGAACCAACAGTGAAAAAAAGTACCTTTTTAGGTCCGAAATTACACTTAATTATATGTGAGAACAATACGACGGACACTTCTGAAAACTTAGATATTAGCAGTTATCATAGAGATTTTGAGGTTATGTTTTATTTTTAAGAAACATTACTATGTTATTGCTAATATAAGCAGTTCAGTCTTAGCCTAGCATTTATACGGTAAATAAAACTCAGGTTGTGATGTACGTAGTACATTATATCTCAATGGTTGTGATGAGGTATTAATTTTATTCATACCAAATAATTACAACTTATACATTCAGTCAGTACATTTGGTTAAAGTCCGTGATTCAAACCAGGTAGGTGGATATAGAAGAGTATCGATATCCGTTGTTCAAGCCGAGTGGTAATTTATAAAAATTTATGGCATAATAAACCAACTGCACAGTGCACTTAGATTCGGAAAACATTTGCAGAAATGTATTTTGTCAAACGTCCTTTCATTCGCTAAAACGATCGCACATCTGACGTCTATCATTTTGACGTGTCGTCATCTGTCAACGTTATTGACTTGTTTTTTGCGTGGCACTATGCTGATTTAGCCAAAGAGAGTAAAATAGTATTGTTATTTTAAATGAAAACAGATGATTTCACTGTATCCAAGTTCCTTGTGGCATATTTTAATCTAAGATATATTTTAAAATATAAACGTTTTCATAATATATTAGACTTTATGACAACTTTTGAAATATGTGAGTGAAGGTATTGTGCGATTGGCCAAATCACAGGAGCTTAGATTAATGATAAGTCATCATGACTTATCATTAATCTATGCACAGGAAAAGTTTCAAAATCGAAAAATTCCTTTTTGTATTGATTTCACAATTCAGAAGTGTCCGTTACTATCTAATGAATGTTATCTAATGTATAATTAAGGACAAGAATTTTGGTAATTGTTAAATATATGTTGGTTTTTAGGCGAGTATTAGAAATGTCCTTTAAAAATAGATTGAGTTAAAAAATTTATATTATCAAAAGTTATTGTATTCACCTCCATAATAAATAAGAAATAAATCAACACCGTGAGGCATTAAAACCACTTTTTTTGTTAAAATAGCAATTAATTGATTTTAAAAAAATAAGTTCAGCAATCATTTATCTTTCTGACAATGTCCTTTTTATATCATTTATATACACAGTATGATTGTTAGATACTATTTCATGCGAGAAAACTACTCATATAATTGTATTCTTTTTTATTTTTTAATACTGTGTTAAAAAGAAGGATTTCTTAAAGCTTTGTCAAAAATCATTCTTGATGAGATGCATGACTAGAAATACATGCATTGATTATTATATAGTTTAATGTGGAGAACTCAGATTCATTTTCGAAATTTTAAAAATGTTGTGTGTTTTTGAAGATGTAATTCAAAAACACGCACAAAATTTTTAAGGTTAATAAAACTGGTAATCTGTTGACTTTGTTTTAGTATGATTTACAGTCAGCCTCTATTTTCTAAAACATTTATATATAATATACCTTGTTTCACATATTTTGAAAAGTAACAGTAGAGGAAGAGTTGTAGTAAAAAAAAATGAAACAAATAATTTGAATAAAGAAATATATTTTCACAGAGGAAACAACCAAAGTATAATAAGTATTTGAATCAAGTAATAATTTATGTTGTTTGTGCATGAGCCCAGTCCGGTAGAATTAACAAATCGCTCCAAATTACTGGAGCCCAGAAATAAACGGCTGCCCAAGTAATTATTATAGTGGATAAAGTAGGTCCAGCCCCAGCGATAATCTATAAAATAAAAGTAATAATGAATTTCGTATTAAATTAATTAACGATTTATTGATTGGGAATAGATTACCTTAATCTAATTATTAATTATTTAAAACATTTATAGCAGCTAAATTTAAGGAAAAATAAAACTATACAAACAATTTTTATAATCCAAATAAAAAAATCTCTTCTTTCATCAGTCCGTAAACACAACATAGCCACGGATCTTTACTGTTGTAGGGAAGATTTAAATTTTAATTGCCTCGCTTGCCAGGCGGATTTACTTTCCATTGCCACTCTAGAGTAGGTACAGTGTCTTTATGCATGTGGTGTTTATAACCAGGGATTTCTCAGTCACCTTCGATGTCACCCTCGGGATGAAATGGAGTGATAGAATTTCCTTACGCCCACAGCACTCGGTAAATAGAAATTAAAAGTTGTATGTATTATGTTTAACAAAAATGTGTACCATTTTCTTAGTTGGTATACTCGCAGCACTTTGAACTATAAGATTTCCAGGAGTTCCTACAGGTATCATGAAACAATATGATGCTGAAAACCCAGCTGCAATCGCATACCATAATGGGTTTCTATCAATTTTTTTAGCCTAAAAATAATTAAAAGAGATTAAAACGAGTATTACTTAAATAAATAATTTAACGTTACGTTATTTCAACAGGAAAATCATTCACTATATTTTTAGTATGGCATATTTAAAAATGCCTTTTAAAACTAAATATAAGTTTAGTATATTTGTTGCTAGCGAAAATGAAAAACTTCTAATAAATAATCACTGATTACTTTTTCAAATTGGGAAAGTCGGACAGCCAATTTATCCTGTGGGACTCATAAAATATTATTTAGCGAAGGAAAAAGTAATTCACCCTTATATTGGATTTAGCCGGTAACAAATGTAGGTATTTTGATTGCTGGCTTCGGTCAAATCTAGTCCGTCACACATACATTTATATTTGAATATAAAATCCAAACATTTTTTACTATGCTGGCAAGTTAAACAACGCTGTGGATATTTCTTTCATTAGCAATAATACTTACCAACTCCATTACAATAGGCACAAACACATTACAAACAACGACGTTTGATGCGAAGTTGGTAACAAAAATAACAACTATTATTATGATTAAAATGATTGCAGCGATGGGTAATGATTTCAAAGATTGCAAAGATTCTCCAATTTTCTCATTAAGGCCAGTTTTCTTAGCAGCATCAGAGAGAGCAAATCCTCCTCCTGCAACGCATAATGTAAATATGTAGTTGTCTCATTGAAATACGATTATCTTCATGCGTATATCTTTATATATATTTTTTTAATAATACAGTATCACAACTTATGAGCTCGTGACATAAATCTCTTGGAAAAATTTAGTAACGGATAAGGACCTCGTCGAAATCATTATTTCGTTATTTAAAAAAACACTTGTCGAGTCAGATCAAGTTCAATCTTGAATTAAATTTATTTATGAGTTTACGTTGGAAATGTGATTTACATAGAGCACACGTGCCACCGGCGGAACGGTCTGTCGTTTTTGCGGGGGGAATCTGCGCATACAAGAACAATATCTGTCTGTTACTATGAAACTGATACATAACAATTTAAACAATTAATTAACAATTTCGCACAAACATAAATACATTATAAGAGTATCGCTCGGTAACAGCGACATCTAGGTTTCAAACTCGGATCGGGCACTCGACCGATCAACATATTGTATGAAGGCGAGCAGTCTATGTTGGTAAGCAAATCCGAAACAACACGACTGTTATTATTGTAACTTTTAGATTTATAAAGAAGTAAATAGCAATAATGTGATTAAAAAATACAAAACCATTAACAAATGTGACATGGCAAATCTCTTTTTGCAGATAAAACTGAACAATTCCTCATTTGTATAGGACGTCGATTCAGCCGCGCAACTAGATTTAATAGTGACCAGTGCAGCTGAACTAATTGAATGATGGATAAAAGGTTCTCGATTAGCAGTCTCGTACTGACAGGCGAAGTGTAGGGCGTCCCCCCACTAGATACAGTAACGACCTGGTAAGACATGCAGAAATGCATGAAATTCTGTATGGAAGACATCAATCTGTTTGAATATTTAATGATAATTTTAAGGAAAAATTAACCTTAATCAACGTCATGACAACAACTAATCCTTTATTTTTCTATACATAAAAATGTGAATTTTAAGCTGAAATTAGTTAATCGGCGTGGAACATATTTTAATGGGCACACTGAACTAAATATTAAATAATAAATATATCAAAAATAATATGCTATTATGCTATGTCGTGTTGCAGTAGCCTGTAGTTACTTATATTTTGTACCAATGTCAATAATGTCGTTTTTGGGGTTCCGTAGTTACACAACAAGGAACATTTATAGTTTCGCCATGTCCGTCCATCCGTCCGTCCGTCCGCAGGTTTACTCAGAGACCCTAGGTGCTACAAATCTGTAATTTGGCATAGTTATTGATATTAATCACGCATATAAAACTGTGAAATAACATTTTTAGTTTATGTACTGTCCATACAAGGAAATGAAGGATGATTCTTTTTTTAACCACCTAATCCATCATGTGGGGTATCGTGAGATAGGTCTTTCAAAAACATTGGGGGTCTGGAATAACATCCTTTCGATCCAGGATTCCTTTTGCGAAATATTTAGTTTTAAAGTGGTATTTTTCATTAGAGTCGTAGGTCCTACCAATTAAACCACTGTTTTTGGAAATGTGAAAAGGATACACAATAGTAGTAGTAGTATATATAATAAAGTTAAAAGGATAACTATCATAGCTAAGTAGAATTAAGAAATTAACGAATAATAGTCGACCAACTTAGAATATTCACTTGGATTAGTAAAAATTTCGTTACAACTCCATATACTCCATATATATAGATACGGTGGCTAACCGCTAAGTGCTAAGTCACTTAGCGGTTAGCCACCGTAGAGTCTATATCACCTGAGGATGCCTCGTGTAGAGGCGAAACACGTGTCGTATTATCGTCAGTGGTGTGTCTCGCCTAGTGTAGTGGTGTTGGGAGTAGCGGTGCTGGGATTAGTGGTGACGGGGATAGTGCACGCAATTGAGGGAGGGCGGGAGGTGCTTTTCATACTAGGTAAGACACATCATTTTATTTTATAACGCGGAAATTTGCGAAGTAAATTTTTCTAAAAGCTTTTATATAATGGATTTCCGCAAAGTAACGCCTGATTCTATTAATTATGTCATCAATCTCTCAAAATCTGTCTTAGATTACTGTGGTTGGTGGCTATTCCAGGATCCATTAGGCGGCACTATGGATGAGTTACCAGTAAAGTTTATATTAAAAGGAGAATAAAAGTGCTAAAATTTAGGAGTGAATTCACAGTGAAATTCATCGAACCACCTACTGGAACACTCGAAACGCTCGCCGCAACAGCTAGTACTATAAAATAAAAAATAAATTGCGACTCACCCAAAAGAAACATAAAACTGTAAGGTAATTTAGCGTTCATTTCACTCCAGTTAAGTACCGACTGTACAGGTGTTTTTGGAAAGTTGTCATGATCTGAATATGTCAGAAAATAAACAAAGTCACGTAGTTATACTATATATTATATAGTTGAGAACTTATATATGTAGGAACTATTATAAAGAAATTAGTTTTAAAACAGAAGAAAAGTTCATTGCATTGGTTCACTTACATTTTGCTATGAAGTTTTTGAAAAAATACAAGCTTGATGGCGCAAGTAACATAAGGTAGGATACCAAAGCTGCTAATGCCGAATCTCGGATGCTGAAAATAAATAATTCAGAAAAAGTAAAAAAACCGTATATTAAAGAGAGTTTTTATAAAGGAAAGATAATCAATAAATACTTACAATTTGTGTGGCCTATCAAATCGTTTCTCCATAAAGTCGCCCCATCCTTCAAACATTTGAGGAGATCGACAAAAGAATAAGACCATAGCGCCGCCAAATAAAATAATTACCATCTGAAATTTTAGTCAATTATTTAGCTACGAGTATTCCATTTTGTAATTAAAACATTAATTTTCAAGACATGTTTCCTTTGTTGAAAAGATGCGTTTTATTGAATACACGTACGATTTGCTATATATGATATGCATATAATAACTGTTTTAATTATAAACTTCATTTCGGCCAGTTAAAATGACTTACTTAAAGGCTTTTACTGGTATATAAGTCGCTAAGTCATATAAGTTGCATACCTCGTTCTTTAAAATAATTTAAATGTACTGTATGTATGTGCACTTGCTATATAAATAAAGTAAAGCGGCTCGTGAGGAGAAATGAAAGTGTTTTTAACTTACTTCTACATTGAAACAAAGTGAACATTTTGACTTCCAGATATTTTAATGTGCCTACATTATCATTATCTACATTATTCATTTATCAGACGTCCGGCCCTCCAATAGTTATTAATTTTTAACGTCCACTCCAATTATTTGTTTCTATCATTTCTTAATACTTTACGCTACCTTTTATTTGAGATTGGGCTACTCAAACTCATAGACAAGTTCAATTAACGTTTATTTTTTTAACAACATTTGATAGGTGGATCTTTAATCTTTAGTCAGCGTAAAGTACTGTGCGTTTAGATACTTCAATATAAATAAGTCTGCCTTTTTAGTGAATACTTGTGTAACCACGAACGTTTGAGTGGAAATTGCATTAACAATTTCATTGGTGCCGGCGGGGATCGAACCCGGGTTACTCACGTACTGTGCAATTTACAGCATTTGAGTTGCAGTTTCTTTAAATGAAATGGTATTTAAAATAAGTGAAACTCAACATTGATAAAAAACAAATAGCACTTGGAGTCTTCATAGATTTAAAGAAGGCCTTTGATACAATTAGTCACGACATATTATTAAAGAAACTATCTGACATTGGCATTACGGGAACCGCTAATGAGATACTCAGATCTTACCCCACTAATCGTTGCAAGTGGTTAAAATGGGTGAAACACAGAGTGGACCCAGGGTTGTGCCTTGTGGTATACCTCAAGGTTCGATTCTGGGGCCTCTCTTGTTTCTTATATATATAAATAATATAAAAGATCTCGGGCTTAAGGGAGACATAACGTTATACGCCGATGACACCACTCTATTCTACTTTGGCCATTCTATAGACTCTGTTATTAAAGACGCACAAAATGACTTAGAACTTCTAAATATCTGGTTTCAATGCAATCAGCTAACTATAAATATATCAAAAATAAACTATATGTTACTTACAGCAAAAAACAAAATCAACATCACATTATACACCATTGAAACTAAATAATCAAATTATAAATAAAGTTGATGAACACAAATATCTTGGACTGATCTTAGACTCGCATTTAACATGGAAACCACATATTTCTAAAATTAAAACAAAATTAACTTCTCTTTCTGGAGCCCTACGGGGTATGATTACATGTTTACCGCACCGAATTCGATATAATATATATAACTCTCTCATAAAACCGCATTTAGAATACTTGACTGAAATTTGGGGCACTGCTGCAAAAACAAGTCTAGAACCACTACAAAGGTCACAAAATAAATTAATTAAAACCTTGTTTAAATATGATTTCCTCACACCAACAAATCTACTATATAAAGAAACAAAATTATTAAATATAACTTAAACATATATATATATATATATATATACACATATAAAACTTGTATATTAATAAGAAAAATATTAAATAAAGACATACATACTCAAATAACATTCACAAAGAAACAACAAATACAAAAAATTAGACTAAGACGTGTAAACGACCTTTGCCTCTTAACCCCAAGAACTAATTATGGTAAAAAAAATTTAATGTACGAATGTGCAAAATTGTATAACCAATTACCGAAAAATATTAAAGAAGCAAAATCAATGCCAACTTTTAGAAAGCACTTAAAATATTATTTAACATCTAATCTGAGCGCACCTTAGTTTCACTATTTCACACGTCACTTCTAGCTACCCTCGATCTGTGTAAGGTGCGCGTCCAAGCATTGTTTATGTTAGTTTTTTTACAAGTACCCTGTTAATCTACATTGTATTTTGTTCATACTTAGAAATTAAAATTATTTAAAATGAATACCTACGATTTGAACGTGTTTGAGTGAAATGATTTCGATATATTAGTGTACGCCTAGGATAAGATTATTATTTGTTTGCAAGTATTTAAACTTTCTCATGTAAGTGAATTGTTGTAAATTCTTATGAGAAATAAAGATATCTCAAACCTCAAACCTCAAGTATTTGAGCGACCGAGCTTCGCTCAGCTTTATAAAAAAGTTAATTAATTGAGTGTTAATAATAAACTTTTAGAGATGATAACTATTTAGATAAACTCGGAAAATCATTAACATTATGTTTATCTAAACATGGAAAAACAAAATATTGTACCTACAGAATTGCATCTAAATCGTTAGAGAAGTTTCTGAATGACCACTTACATAAACATATCAAATAGATGAATTGCTCGCTTAAAGTATTAAGATAAACGATTTACTAACATATTCCCAAAAGGTTATTCTTCCTAATTTTTTCCAGTCAGCATCAACAGCTCTTTTAGCAGCCGCTATGCCATCAGGAGTTATCGAAGTTTCCTTCGCAGCTGCACTGTTTGGTCTAAAATACATATAAATTAAAGTGAGTTAATTGCATTTTGCGTTAATTCGAAGATACGTTTTGCCAAACAAATGGGATTTTTTATATGTTGAGTGGTCTCTTTATTACTTCCTACTTCCCACACTGGTTTAGATATTTCATGTCTGGTTTAAGCAGGTATAACACCAAATTCTGTGAAGAGCCATAATATTATGGTCTTTCTGGTTTTTCCTAAACACGCCTCACACAAACTAGGGAGAGACTTTATTATTTACGCTGTTATTCTGTGAGGGCGTGGTCTTTCGCCGGTCGAGGCGACCAATTCGTGCTAAGACCGTAATATAGCACGTACAAGATTCGCTTACGCCGCTATTAGACAACATCATCTCATATTCTATTATCATTATCTTTATATTTATATATAAATAATACATGTCACATTGTTTGTCCGCGATGAACTCCTAAACTACTAAACTGATTGCAATGAAATTTTACACACTGTGTGTATTTGGGTCCAACTTGAGAGATAGGATAGTTTTTATCCCTATAAGTGACCCTCAATATTTTTTATTACGAATTTAAGAATTTTTATAGGACAAAAGGTCGTCGGAGAGGGCAGAACAACGTCCGCATGGTCAACTAGTAAATAATAAAAATCGAAATAACCTGGTCCCCTTTTACCTTTAAATCTGAAACAATATTGTACAATTTATACTATACATATAATATAGTATCGCCTAAATGTAGCTACAATAACATAATATACAATGATATAATATGTTATATTCTTTCTCAGCCACTCCACTGATGGACATATTGATATTATTAGCATCTTAGACACTCTTTTATCTTACCAATAAGAATTTAAAATTAAAATCTTTGCTACGATATGGATATAAAAACTAAAAACTTTTGGTAAATCCAATTGAGCATGCCCTAATCGCATTAAAAAAATTACGTATAACATGATTATAAGGAATTTTTTTAAATACACAGAAGTTTTCACTAATAACCTTATTATACTTCCAATTTTCCGATAATTTTATGTCAAACTTCAATTTGAAAAAAGTTTGGAAAACCCAAAAGTGCACGACTCTTAATGCTCATATGAACATAATATCATTAGTCATGTCACTCCATAAAGTCCAAGACCTATTTAAGTATAAATATTACATCCTACATATATACCTATTACGTACTACATACTATTATTTATTCTGTGCTTTTAAAATATTGTAATAAAAATCTTTGAATATTTTAATAATCAAGTAATATAAAATAGTAAGAAATTGGTTTTTCGAATATTCTGTATTCATTTGTACAGCGATCTTTTTGATTCACTCACAACGGCGGTTGACGTCGTACCCGAGTGACACAGTCTATTTACTAAAATGATTTCACACAAGGCTGCTCAAACACCGAAAATTTCGCCATTTCGCAGCCGAAACAAATTTATTTTAAATAAACTAAACAAAATTAAACTGCGATTTAAATTCAATGGCTTCCCACATGATAGATGAAGAGTTTTAAAAATATATTGAGTTGAACAATTGATATTTTCAAAAGTTATCGTGTTTACAAGCCTTGCGGACTTGATAAGCCACTAAAACCCATTTTTAATTAAAAATAGCAATTAATCGATTTTAAAAAAATATTAATAATTTCAACAATAATTTATCTTTCTGACAATGTGCTTTTTATATCAGTTATATGTACAATATGATGGCTAGATACGATTTAATGCGACAAAAGGTTGGAATCTTAATTTTTAGGCCCTAGTAGAACATACCTATGCGCGTTGCGCTTACGGCATCCAATTTAATATAATTCAAAAAATGTGATGAACATGACGATAAAACAACATAATATTGTATACTATAGTCTTTGTGTTATAGCATGGTGCGGATGACTGGTCACTAGAACGTTACTTACGTGCGTTTGCAAGATATATAAAAAATAACACTAGATTTTTTTTGTTATTTTTTCTACTCTGTTAGGGCTATTATTTAGATTAACATTAAGTTCAAAAATCTTACCGAATATTGTTTTTTTACTGATAAAATTATAAAAGTTTTACTGTTACTATGGAGATGTAGATATTTTAGTATGTGTGGTGCAATGCCGTCGTATTCTATTTTAATATCGTCGTATACTAAATTTAAGTAGCTTAGGATTCATGATCTACGTTTTAAACAAATAAATAAATAGAAAAAGTGGCAATGGTTCTTTCCTCACTTAGCGTATTCTCGAAGGCGAATTACTAACGGGGAGGGGGGGGTTACTCAACTCCCTTAAACAAATTATTTGTTGACTTCGGCGTTTTAAAGAAAAAAACTTAATAAATAGCAAAATTAACTAAAAAAAAACACAACAATAAAAGCAATACTCAAAGATAAAAAATCAATTTAAACTCAACTGGAAATTACAAAATACAACTGGTAAAATTTTGTACAACCGACATAAAAAAAACACATTATTAAAGATAACTCACAAACTACTGGTTAGACCTTGATCAAATTTATATGGTACTTCATAAGAAGTACCAGCTTTCAAATAAAAAAAGAAATCTAAATTGATTCACCTAGAAAAAAAGTTACGAGGTAACACACATAACCTTATTAGCTTTGACATTTCATATTTTCTCACCAAACTCGGACTAAACAATAAACATAAATTTTTTCTGTTTCATTATTTCTCATGCTGAGTGATGCCGCCCGCCCCGCCATGCTGTGCATCGACGTCCTCAATTCGACCATCATTTATTATTTCATTCTTATATTAGCAATTAATACAGTACCTAACTTACGTGATGCGGCTTAGATAAGTACATTTAGTAAAAAGCAAAAGCCTTGTGGGTTAGTTCCTTAAGCGATTGTAGGTACTGTTGCTTTCAATAAATAAAGTGGCATTACGCGTGCGATACAAGGATATTATCTGGGCGTTTGAGGCTATAATTTGGTTATGTGCTTTTTATTGTATGATATCATTTTGGAGATTTTTGAAGTGCATGCGTTGTAAGTTCATAAGATTTTTTACTTTTTTCAGAATAATAGTAAAAATGAGTAATGCAGAAAATTTTGAGTCTGCAACCTTAACTAGTCGTTTAAGAAGTTCTGATTTGCCGAAAAAGAAAGACATACGTAGACGAATATGCAGTTGTGTTTACCCAAAATTGCGTTATGGCACAACAAATTTTAAGCACATTTATCAACTCAGGCATGTGTCAAAATAAAATCGTGTAGCCAGTTAGTAAAATAAAATGTAGGAAAGAAAGGTTATTTAAATATTAAGTACTATGTATCACCCCTTTACCATTTCAGAGTTGCAGTTTTTTTTTTGTTTTTTATAGACGAGGGGGCAAACGAGCATGCGGCTCACCTGATGGTAAGTGACTACCACCGCCCATGAACAACCGCAACACCAGGGAAATTGCAGATGCGTTGCCGGCCTTTTAGAAAGGTGTAAGCTCTTTTCTTGAAGGTTCCTAAGTCGTATCGGTCTGGAAAAATCGCTGGTGGTAATCGACTCCACAAGGAAGTTGTGCGAGGGAGAAAACTTCTTCTAAATCGCACATTGTTGGACCGCCAATCATCCTGATGGTAATGATGATAACGCGAGTCTTGTCGCGATGTGCGATAGTGAAATTAAGCGGCTAGAATTAGTCCGAACAATTCCTCAGAGCATTCCCCGTGATAGATGCGATAAAATACGCAAAGAGATGCAACATCTCTACGCAGTACCAGTGTATCGACCCGATCAGAAAGAACTCAGTCGTCGACGATTCAAAACGCTCTGCGCTGGATGCGGTCAAGTGAAAGGAGCTGGCACTGGGGTGCCCCGGACCAGAGATGAGAACAGTATTCCATGTAAGGCCGAACTTGCGCTTTGTAAAGTTGCAAGCGATGTGCCGGCATGAAACACTGTCTCGCTCTGCTGAGTACGGCCAATTTGGCCTTCCCTTCCAAGTGACCACGAAACTGCACACTATTCGATATGTCGACGCCAAGGATTCCGATGCTAGCTGAGGCAGCAAGGGGAGTGCCTTGAAACTGAGGAGATACGACAAAGGGGTTCATTTTAGCGGTAAACGCGCAAACTTGTGTCTTCTGGGGATTGAACTGGACTAGATTTAATCGTCCCAAATACGAGCTTTTGTTAAGCAAAGACTCGACTTCAGACACAAGTTGGTCCCGGTACTCGGCGACGTTTTCCCGAGAAATATTGGCACGGCAATACCGGCCGTCACTATAAGGCATCACCAGTGCTGTCGTCTGCATAGCAATGAATGCTACCAGTTTGCAATATATCATTGATATGCAGGAGAAACAGCGTTGCTTGAAATCAGAGCATGCACCGTCTACTATCACCTTGATGCTCCGATCAGCAAGAAAACTGGTGATCCAGAAAACCGTACTGGCGGTCATTAATCAGCTGGTGTTCCTAAAGGTACCTCATGAGCTGGCAGTTTATAATAGATTCCATTATTTTGGAGAACAAGGAGATGATGGCGATAAGCCTGTAGTTGGACGGGTCTGAGCGGTCGCCTTTTTTAGGGATCGGGTGGATCAAAGCTGTCTTCCATGAATTCGGGACTACGCCTTGGGAGTAGGAGTACCGGAAAAGACGCGTTAAAACCGGTGCCAACTCCGGAGCACAAGTCTTCAACACAATGGGAGGGACTCCATCAAACCCACTCGACTTGCTGACATCCAGGGAGAAAAGTGCTTTACGAACCGAGCGCTGTGTAAACCGTACATCCGGCATGGAGCACTCACATCGCGGGATGGTCGGCGGTGTGTTCCCCGTCATCTAGAGTCGAGTTGGACGCAAAAAGAGAGCTCAACAGATCGGCTTTCTCCTTTGTGGCATGGACCAGTGAGTCGTCCTCTCTGTGCAGAGATGGAAAAGATGGCTGACAGAAGTTCCCTTAGACAGCCTTGGCGAGAGACCAGAACGCACGGGTTCCCGAAGGAAGGCCAACTAGCTTCTCACCAATTCTGCCGATAAGCTCAGACCTTGCCTTGGCAATGACGCTTTTGAAGGACCTGGAGGCGGACTTATGCTTCTTTTTAAGTGCGCTGATGTTTACGTCCAGAGACGTGATTGCGTCAGCCCAGGCCCGTCCGACTGGAGCGACCAAACCGTGGCTGGGATCATTCTCCGATTGTTACCACAGAGGATGGAATAAAAAGTTCCATACCCTGAAGTATCACATCAGCAACAGAATCGGCAACAACGCTGAGATCTTCCGGCGAGAAGCAAACCCCCAAGGGTAGGATGTAAGAAAAGACCGTATCCCGTCCCAATCAGCTGACTTATAGTGCCATACACGGCGGCAAGCTGCAGATCGCAACTGCGATTGGAGGGTGAGTGGCACCGTACTCTGGATCAGATAATGGTCCGAAGAGCCCAGAGGGGCATCGACGGAGACCTGGTATCCGTCCGGATGTGAGGTCAGCAGAAGGTCCAACAGGGAAGGTGCATGGTCTTCCACATCTGCGATCTGCGTAGGCGAAGTAACCATTTGTGTTAGACCATATGCCAAGGCAAAGTCATAGATAGATCTACCCGCATGATCGGTTAAACGAGAACCAAGCCATTCAGCGTGGTGGGCGTTAAAATCACCGAGTATCACGATCTCTGTGGATGGGACCTGTTGTAGTACGGATTCTGCAGCCATTTGGACGTGTTCGATGAGTCGGTCTATGTCGGCATTACCGCTATGGGACCTATAGAGGCACCCGTAGACGCGGGGATGGTCGTCGCTGTCTACGCGCAGCCATAGGATGGACAGGTCCGTACCTTCAAGACTGCCGAGGCATCGAAAACAGATGTCATCCCTGACGTTTACCCAAACTCCAGCCCGGGGTACAAAGGAGTGTTCTAATTTGTACCCCGGGTAGGAGAGATATGAAGTATCAGCCGGACAGGACACCCGAGTCTCGGTTAAAAAGAGCAAGGCCGGCTTTGCCGTCTCTAGATGGTAATGGACAGCGTTAAGGTTGGAATGAAGTCCCCTGATGTTGCAAAAATTCACGGATAGCGTGACAGGGGTCGCCTCGGTTGTATTGCTATTGCTCCGCTTGCCCCGGGCAGCATTAGTCGCGAGCGGAATTTCAGGAGTGGAGTAGTTTGGTCGTGGATGCTCAGCGAGGGATTCTCCAGGGGTGCCGGTACCCTCTTGGTGTGGTCTTTTATTTAATTCCAGTACCATGTTGTTGTTGGGGTGGGGGGGGGGGGGGGTAATTGGGACTCCGGCCAGGTGGCAGGTGAGTGCAGGTGCACTCACCAAGCGCAACGCAGAGGTAAACCTCTACTTCATGCTGGTATTCTGTGAAGTCGTGGTACCACGCCGGTTCGAGGCGGCCCATTCGTGCGACAGCAAAAGCTGCCGCTTGGCTCTATCACTGTTAAGAAATAATAATATAAATATAACAACATCTTCACAACTTTCGAATTTCCCAGTCATTCCGGCAATTCCCGGGTCCAACACATTTTGAAACAGTGAGTTAACACATCAACGCTGTGAATTCGCAGCGCAGTATTACCTATGTCTAGCGCCAGCACTCGTACCTAGAAAAGCTGCAGGTGCAGTCAACGCCGTACTGAAAATTACAGATGCTAGCAGCCATTTTATTTGTTTTTATGTCAAGTACATGCTGCAATTAAAATAAAAGAGAAGATGATTTGTATTTTCAAATTAAATACATAGAATTATATGTAACTATAATGTCATTATTTGCATTAAACTGTAACTAAAATTTAAGCATTGTACCTAATTTATATAGAAATATATATTTCGGTTTTAATTTTTTTATCGATAACTTATCGATATTTTTTTTGTTATGTGTATCGTTAATCGCTTTTTTAAATCGATTTAACATTTTTCCATCTCTAGATATAAGGCACCATGCTTTAACGCAAAGACTACAGCTACTGGTCATTGATGCAACTATATGAAGTACTGGATACAATTTTTTATTGAATGTTCATTTTTGCTATTTTAAAAGAACAATAGTAATGTTCTTTTTAATTTCAAATTAAACTAAGAAAATGTTGATTGAATAAACATTTAATTACAATAATCAAATAGCAGGTCTAATCCTTAAAAGGAAAGAAATTAATAATTAAAAAAAAATTATGACTTACCTAAAATATCCAAGATATAGCACAATGAGGTTTATAAATAATAACGCTTCCATAATAATCATGTATGGAACCGAAAATGCAGAGAATTTTGGGAATGACAAATATTCAGGTGCGTCAGGGTAGGCCCTATAAACAAGAAGTAAAAATAAATAATGTACATCTATGTAGGTATGCTCATTTCTATAAATTTGTTTTTAAATCGCTTTAATTTTTATTTTGGTAAAATTTAATATTATATACCTACAATTGAAATAGTTTTATTCTAATTTAAGTTTAGTAAACAGAATAAGTTAAATACAAAAGTATATATTTTTTTTGGGTATAGTGGGTCGGGGAAAATATTTCTTCGTATTTTGCTTGTATAAAATTGAAGAAAAATTTCCTTAGTTGTACTGTTTGTATCTGGCTGGTTTTAATACTTTCATATATAGGACATTAAGAAAAAGCAAAATAGAAAGTGAAAAACGCTTACCCCCAATTTTTCAATTCTTTTTCTGTGCGCCAAAATGGGTGAATCTAACGAAGAAATTAGATATATTCTGAGAATCTATTACAAAAAGGGAAACGACGTTGATGTATCTAATGCTTGTCAGTAAAAGTAGCACAATGTTGATTCAAACCTTTTCAGTCCGGAAATTTTGATGTCAAAGATGCAGCCCACTCAGGTCGCCCTTATACGGATAAAGTCGATGCCATTTTTGAAAAAAAGTAGCAAGATCGGTATATTAGTAGTTGCGACATAGGCAACAAATTGAGGATTGACCATAAAATAGTTATGACCCATTTGAAAAAGTCTTGCTATAAAAAAAAAACTCGATATTTGGGTACCACACGAGCTTACTGAAATAAAACTAATGAACCGTGTACTCATTTGCGATTCTCTAATGAAACGTAATGAAACCGAACCATTTTTGAAAAGAATGATCACTGGTGATGAAAAATAGATCATTTACGACAAGAACGTGTAAAAAGTTCATATTCAAAGGGTAGTCAAGCTCTACAGACTGTAGCGAAACCCGGATGAACAGGCAACAAGGTGATGCTTTGTATATGGTGTGATTGGAAGGGCATCGTTTATTATGAGCTTTTACCGCCGGGCAAAACCATCGATTCAGATCTCTACTGCCAACACCTTATGAGAATCAAGCAAGAAATTGAGAAAAAGCTGCCGGAATTGAGCATCAGGAAAGGAGTTGTCTTTCATCATGATAACGCTAGACCACACACATATTTGGCCAATCAGCAAACGTTTAGAGCTCTTGGTTGAGAAATGTTAATACATCCGTCATATAGTTTTAATCTTGCATCCTTAGATATTCACCTGTTTCGGTCTCTTCAGAATTTTTTGGATAGTGTTGGGTTAACATCAAGAAAAGAGTGTCAAAACTAGTTGTCGAATTTTTTTTGATCAAAAATGCCAAGATTTCTACAGCAACGGAATTATGTCACTACCTACAAGATAGCAACAAGTTATCGAACAAAATGGCACATATATATTATAATTAAATGTAGTTGAACTTTGAAAAAAAATGTCTTGAATTTGTATTTCAAATAAGAAGAAACTTTTCCCCCGACCTTTTATATTAAGCATTTTACGAAGATAGAGTAAAAATATACTACGAGAGACATACGTTATTAAAGCTATATATAAAATTTATTAAAACTTTATCTGTATTCTTTATCTAAATCTAACCAGGAGAAAATTGATCCTATTGTCGTCAACTATATATACAGATGCGGATCTTGATACCAGCCAAACACTACTACTAAGTAGACTTTTATAACAAGATCAATTGTGGCATCATTTTGATGGACTAATTATGTCATCGATACAGCGTATACAGACGGACCAAAAGATGGCTATTGGCCAGTTTTTATGGTCTTTTAATATAGTGGGCGTCAATTCATATTCCTGCTGAAAATAGCAACAAATCAAGCCCAAAAAAATGCCATTTCCTAAAATGCTTGGCATGAATCTTATTACCCCTCAAATGGAAGAATATGTGCCGAAGCCCCTTGTGCAGGAAACATACCTAGAATATATGCCAGGAATGTGTGACGGAGAAAGATTTTTTGCGTTTTTTGTGTTAGAATAATGCTGATCAACTACTGATCTTAATAAAAATCATAGATGCTATTAAAATGTTGTTTCATTTCTAAAATAAAAACCAAAATATATAGAGGTCCTCTCGGTCTCCAGCGTAGTAATAGTGTTTCTCCAGGGATGGGTAGGCTTTAGGGTTAATGGTGCTGTGTTTCGTATAATGAGTGTAGGGAACCGGAGACCCTTTTAATTGGAAACAAGGCATTCTATATTAGTCATCAAGGGTGACAACGCATCTGTATTTTGATTCATAATCGAGGATAGATGTAAATGTCTAAGAGCTACAACATCCACTTACCATCAGGTGGCCTATGTGCTCATTTGTCATCCCCATTCTAAAAAAAATTTGCTTCATCATATTCCACTAATACTAGAAGAAGAGGTAAAAAGAGGTATAAAAATGTTTTAGAGGATTGCCGTGTCACAATCGCTTTTATTGCTTAAGAAACTAAGATTTGTATGATGTAGAGATGCAAAGAGTATTTCCCGCGTTGGATACCCAGAATGCTTACTTATTGGAACAGTTTCAACAAGATAGTGTCTCCTACTCCTGACGAAGTCAAGTTCTGAATCAATCGAGTTATATTTAAAGTCTAGGTAGTAATTTCGTATTCCCGAAAACGCACCTAGCGCACAATCGGGTGGTGGTTCATATTAGAACTATCAAAAGGCAAGTCTTCAGTCGTTCGCCACTAGATGGCGCTTGTTATCACAAGCGAAGATAATGCTCTTTCTTCGTATCTCATCATTTTGATCCCGAACTAAAGTTACGTATATAACTTGGAAAAAACTATCTCCAACTCCTAAAGAATTCAAGGAGAGTCTATCCGCCGGATCATAGCTTTTTTGGGATAAATAAAGTGTGGTAATGACAGAATATCATTATGAATATAGAAAGAATACAGACAGAATATATTAAGTGCACAAGAGATTGACCTAATAATCTAGTTGCGAGATTAAAGGAGTATCTGAGAAGACATAGATTTTTGAGGTGACAAGAATTTTGAGGTGTTCAGGATAAATTTTGTTTAGGAAGAGATTTTTAAACGTAGAAAAAAGACATTCCAAGTTTTTTATAACAAGTGACTGTGTGGGAAAATAAAGTAAAATAATATGTTCGGCATTTGCTCTCACTTGAAGACACATGCCTATGAGAGTATACCGGCGTGTCATGCAAGTACACAGGGTAGGTTTTCTTTAACATTCTGGATACATTATATAAAATTTCTTAAATTCAAATAATGAATTTGAAGAATGAACGAAATTCCACAGTAATAGGAAGCTTTTACAAAACATTTCATTAATTGATCTATAAAAATTAATTAGAAGTTGGTTTTACATACTTTTGAAAAAGTCCTTTCAGCACTAAGTTTGTAGCCGTACCGACTAAGGTGCCAATGCCGCCTGAAATAAATGTTTTAATTAAGAAATACAATAAATATTCTTATGTCAAAAGTTTTAAGCAAAAGAAAAGTTGCAGACTATTTACGTCCCACAGCTGGGCACAGGACTCCTCTCATTTCTGATAGGGTTACAGGGCATGTAAATATCCGCTGCGCTGCCCCACTGCGTATTGCCGGCCCTTCACGTCCTTTAAATATCAATCACGATGTTTTTCGTTCTGCGCTGAGCAAGTGGTAAATCATAACATTGGTGCCGGCAGAGATTGAACGTGGGTCGGCTTACAGAAATTTACGGAAAAATTTATACATAAAATCACGATATCGACTTTGTTCTTTGTGCATTGAAGAATTAAAGCTCTGACTCAGAATGTAAAATAATTTAATTCAAGTTGCTTCTTTGTTGTCGGCTTTTACTTTTTAGTAAGGGTTATTTTTGTATCCTGTTAAAAATACTAAGGATTATAACAACTTTAATGTTGTCAAAATAGTTACATTAAAACCTTTATTCCCTATTTTGACATACTTAGGTAAAAATTTTCCTCCAAATTAAGATCACTCTAGAAGTATGATTCACAATTGGGGAAAATATCACATACAACCAAAAAAAGATAGGCCACAGACTTCAAAAAAATTAGGTTCTCACGTCCTAATAGTACATTCTGAAGTTGGTTCGTCATAGCATCACAGCTATATATTTATACTGTGCTAGCAGTGAGCACAAGGAGTAACGGGGACAGCGGCAAGAACACACATAATTATCAAGGACGCATAAGCTAAATGTTAGTTTTTTTTTAATAGGATAGGGTGACCAACGATTACACAGTCCACCTGATGGTAAGTGGTTACTGTGACCCATAGACGTCTACATCTCTCCTCAATAAAGACTCAAGATGCAGATGCGTTGTTACCCGTGAGGACTAAGATGGAAGCCTCTTTGCCAGTAAAAGGGATCTCCGGTTCTCTACACTCACCATAGGAACACAGCAGCGTTAAGCTGCTATTTTACGCTGGTTTTCTGTGAGAGCGTGGTCCTGCCCCGGTCGAGCCGACTCATTCGTGCTACAACTATACTACTAATATAGCTGCAGCATGGCTCTACCACGTAAAATATATATCATATATCGATATTTGGTTGTATATTGTATATCGCATAGCTTCAGCACTGTAAGCGTAACATCTTTGTCACATATTTAATAAGTGCGATGTCTCTCTTCACACACAGGTCGCAATAACCTGCTATACTTAGCTACATTATATAAAAAATGATGGTTTTTATTTTATTTTACGTAACATTGAAATACATCATATTACATAACATACTCGTAGTCCATGGAAATCATAACAAAGTTTCAATCACCAATCAACATTTAAAGTATTCGCATAAATATTATCTTGAGACTCAATAACAACGAGTCAGCTATAAAATTCATAGATAATCAAAACATATTCATTTGCAGTAAAATATAAGATATTACCGATTGTTGCTGAAAATGTAGCTGCACAAAAATAGCACGTAGTGATATCAGAGGCCACTGTTTCGCCTTGCATATTTGTTTCGTATATGTTCATTAACTGTTGCTGTAAAAAAAATAACATCATTAATTAAAAGTTGATGGTGGTACTCCTAACTATGACATTAGGACGTCAAACACCTCTTTCATGAAGAATGAAATAAAAACTGCATAATTGCCCCATCAAAACTAAAAAAGTAGCAGTCGACGTTCATGTAACTACTGGGCACAGGCCGCAAAGATTTTTGCCAAAAAAGTGTTCGCTGCCCTGACCCTAACGTGGGATCACCTCAAATGAGGTACTTCTCAGATATGCAGGTTTTCTTCACCGCCGAGAAGGTGTTAAATCGACACTTTGAAATTTAATTAATGTATATGCTAAAATATAATAATAATGCTTATGTTCTATGAAATTTACGTTTGCATCAGTTTGATTACTGCCTCTGAGAATTAAAATAAAATAAACCTTTGTTTATGTGTATTTTTCCGCTAGAGCCTGTTTATTTATGGTTTCATAGCACATGTGAGCTATGAAACCAGGACTGTCATGAAATCGTAATTTGTCTGAAAATATGAAAGATACGAGTATCTTAAATGATAAACTGATTTATAAGTCTGTTTAAATGTAAAAAAGTAAAGTAGCACCTTACATACTTCTAACTACTATGCACAGGGCTCCTCATTACATATTATTTTAAGTGTGACAATTTTTATGCTGCACGAATAAGTATTCAGTGCATTCAAAAATTTTGTTTTATCAGTTACTTAGCATTAGTTTATTTTGCAGAAATGTGCTATTATTACATTAAAACTATGAAAGCTAAAACTAGTAATATCAGCGATATGAGGTTGGGCGACGGCTGGCTCAAGAGCAAACCCAAAGCTGAGAATATTTATTTATTACCAATAACTTTTTCAATCAACATCACTTTATGCCTTATTGGCAATAAGGTATAAAGTGATGTTGATTCTGTTAAAAATTCTGTTTCTGTTAATAATATGCTATCAGCGCCACTAGCGGTGAAAACTATTTAACGATATGACCATATTACGAGTATGATATAGCAATGTTGTGTTTAGATATTAATATCGTCAAACGATCTCCATTTATTAATTTGGTCGAGCTTTATCATGACATGGTCAAGAAACAGTGTTAAATATCATTAAATGACACCATTTCACAGAATTTCAGACTACTTTATGATCTTTTATGATATATTATGATCAATTCTACGATCTGGCCACGACATAATATTGTTACGCGCTTGGGGTTCGAGACAATTAAAAACTGCCGATTGAATTACCAAAATTGACACTTTAATTACACAACACTAATTACAATCTAAAATCACACTAATAATAAAACACAGTTCGCCGTTATTTCGCTTCGAAGTATTCTCTTGTATCGCCAATTCAATACTGCCTTGGTCGTGGTCCATACCGGCCTTATATAGGGCCTCAGACAGTTTCCAGAACCTTCCACTGTAGCGACATCTAGAATGTTCGAGTACATATCGGTTCCGAAATTTCTGGAAGGATCTCGACTCTCCTAGTTCTGCTACTCGACACTAGAGGGCGCTACTGTAACTAGTGTTGCCATGTACAAGACATTAATAGTGGCGCGCAAACCTTTATTTTACTCGACACTAGAGGGCGCTAGTGTAACTAGTGTTGCCATGTACAAGACATTAACAGTGGCGCGTAACACTGCCCCCTCCTAAGACATGCTCGTCCCGAGCATTATTGGCCCCATAATAACGCGCCAGTCGATCCACATGGACAATCTTAGGAGTACCTCTGACACCTTTCTGTATCCGGTAGGTTACGTCATTGATCCTTGTCACAATCCGGTACGGTCCGTCCCATTTAGCTTGAAGCTTAGGAGATTTCCCTTTGCTGCGAACTGGATTGTGTAACCACACTAGTGAACCTTCATCAAACCCCTTGTTGTTCATTTTGCGGTCATACCGTGTTTTCATCTTCTCAGACGTTTGCTGGCCCGTCTGTCTGATGTGCTCATAAATGTCATTCATTTTGTTCCGCAAGTCATTTGCATAATCGGTTATACTGCGTGGGGCATCAGGTGGTATTCCGGTGATCAGGTCTGCAGGCAGCCGCAATTCTCTCCCAAAGTTTACGAAAGCTGGTGTCACTGATGTACTTTCGTGAACAGCGCTTCGATATGACAACAAAAACGGTTGTATGTGCCTGTCCCAGTCTCGTTGCCGTTTTTCCACAACTTTTGCTAGGTACCTCTCCAATGTCTGATTAAATCTTTCTACCATTCCATCAGATTGTGGGTGGTAAGAAGTTGTTCGTGTTTTCTGAGTACCCATAACTCGGCAAGTTTCCTGGAATATTTGAGACTCAAAATTCCTTCCTTGATCGCTGTGAATCTCTAAAGGTACTCCAAAACGACATAAGACTTCATGAACTAGTTTATCTGCAACGGTTGAAGCTTCTTGATTTGGAATGGCGAAGACTTCTGGCCACTTAGTGAAGTAATCCATCACAACCATGAAATACTTGTTACCACTTTCAGTTTCTGGAAACGGCCCCGCAACGTCAATGGCTATCCTCTCCCATGGTGCACCAACATTGTACAATTTCAATGCGCCTCTACTACGAATTTGAGGTCCCTTTACAGCCGCACAACTTGTACATTTGCGGCACCAGTCCTCGACATCGTCACGACAGTGGACCCAGTAAAACCGTTCTCGGATCTTCAGGAGAGTTCGTTTAACTCCCAGGTGGCCTCCTGAACAACCACTATGGTACAGCTGTAGAATATCCGGCACTTTAGGCTTAGGGACAACCATTTGCAAATGACACCTGTCTCCCCGACCATTTTCCCATTTACGGCACAGGACTCCATCCTGAATCAGCAAGCTGTCCCATTGGGCCCAATAGCTTTTCGTGGTCGAACTCATTGCTGAGACGTCGCTCCACTTGGGCTTATGAGCACTGACCTTCATCCATTCCAGAATCGGCTTAATGTCCGAATCTTCCTGCTGTGCATGTTGTAGACTGTCCTTCCACTCATTGCTGAGCTGGTCTGTCCTGAGCATTCTCACAGATACCACTTCCTTACCCTCTTGCTTAGTACAATGCTTGCAATCTTCAGGGCAAGGTCTTCTTGACAATGCATCTGCATTGCCATGAGATTTCCCGCTGCGATGTTCGATCACAAAGCCGTATTCCTGCAGTAGTTCAATCCATCTCGCAACTTGTCCTTCCGGATTTTTGAACTGCAATAGCCATTTCAGTGCAGCATGGTCAGTTCGTAAGTGGAATTTCCGCCCTAGAAGATATTTGCTAAAATGCTGCAAGGACTTTACCACAGCAAGCAATTCCCGTCTTGTGACACAATAGTTCCTTTCCGGCTTTGACAACGACTTGCTGAAGTACGCTATCACAATCTCTTGATCACCACTCCGTTGAGACAACACACCGCCAAGTCCTATATCACTTGCGTCTGTGTCAACTATGAATTCCTTGCCCACATCAGGGTACCCCAAAATAGGTGTTTTGCACAGACGGTTCTTGAGCTCCTGGAATGCAATATCGCAACTTTCATCCCAGCAGAAATGTCGCTTCTCCTCGGTAAGCTTGTGCAGAGGTTTGGCTATATCTGCAAAGTTCTTCACAAATCGCCGATAGTAAGAGCACAAACCCAAAAATGCTCTAACCTGTGTCTTGTCTTTTGGAATCGGCCACTCCTTGACAGCGGCAACTTTCTCTGGATCCGTGCGGATACCTTCTTCCGACACAACATACCCCAAAAAACTAACTTGCCGTTTGAATAGTGAGCACTTCTTCGGACTCAACTTGAGGTTGGCACTCTGGATCTTCATGAGCACGCGTTCCAGGTTTTGAAGGTGTTCCTCAAACTTACGGCCTACGATGATGATGTCATCCAAGTAGACCAGACAGGCATCTCCAATTAGCCCGGTAAGTACAAGCTCCATCAATCTTTCAAACGTTGCTGGAGCATTGCACAATCCAAACGGCATGACTTTAAATTGCCACAGACCCTTTCCTGTGGAGAATGCAGTTTTCTCCTTGTCCTTAGGGTCAATTTCAACCTGCCAGTAGCCACTTTTCAGGTCCAGCGTACTAAACCACTTTACGCCTGTGAGCATGTCCAGCGTGTCATCAATTCTAGGCAAGGGATAGCTGTCCTTCTTCGTAACGTCGTTCAGGCGGCGGTAGTCAACACAAAACCGCATGCTGCCGTCCTTCTTCTTTACCAGCACCACAGGTGAACACCATGGACTAGATGAAGGTTCAATAACACCATCCTTCACCATTCCCTCAATCATGGTTTCCACTTCCTTTTCACGTGCTACAGGCAATTCTTCTCCTGTGTTTATTTTGTGTTGAACTAAGCCAGTCTTTCCTATATCAGCTTCGTTTGACGAGAAAACATTTGCGTACTTGAGTAACAACTTCTTCGCCTTGATCATTTCATTCGGGGAGAGAACGCTGCGACAGTCTTCTAAAAGTGTGGTCACTCTCGTTTGTCCATCCTTGCTGGGGGTCCCAGTCGATAGATATTCGCACCGACGCAACCAATTCATTTCCTCACTAGTACCAACCAATGTGCCTTTTTCTATAATCTGTTCCTGATCACAAAGGTTCAACACACGTACTCCTGAGATGTCGGTGGTTCTGACCAAGGTTCGAGCCACTTTCCATGGAAGGTCATTGTCTACCCTTTCCACGAGTACACAACGATGAGCTTGCCCAGGACTCCGAGGAAGACTAACCGGCACAATCGTTTCCGATCTCGGCGGAAGAACAATCTTCTTAAGGCTGTACACATTCCCTGGTAACGCCCCTTCCACGAAAAGTTCCTCTTGTCCACATTTCAAAACACCTTGCTTAACGTCGATCTCACAACAATTCTTCCTCATAAAGTCTAGGCCCAGGATGCAGTCGTCCATTATATCAGCCACGATGACATTATGCAGGTAGATCATGTTGCCTAGCTTCAACTTCATCTCCTTCTCTCCACGGACGGGTATGCGCCTACTGGTGGCTGTCACCAAATTAATGCGTTCTCGGTTGTATGCGGAGTCCCCAAGGAACCGACTTATAAGTTGGGAACTGACAACCGTGCGAGAGGCTCCAGTGTCTATGGTCAGTTTACACGGCGTTCCATTGACTTCGCCCTTGATGATAAGGCTGTTCCCATCATGGGTTTGTGAGATCGAAATTCTTGGGGCTCTTTTAACATCAGCCAACACCCGCCAGTTTCCCTGCTGCTGCTGGGTGGTGCTGTCAGCCACAATACCCTCTCGATATCGATCACCTTCCCTTTCTACAGTTCGTTTAGGGCAGCTGGATCGAAGATGGCCCCTTTCCCCACAGCCGTAGCACCTAGGGCTATAGCCCTTATTGCGGTCCTGAACTGTAGCTGCTACAACCTCCCTGACGCGATGGGAACGATGATCCTGCGCACGGCTTCCACCTCCAGTGCATGGGTCAAGGCGTCCTTAAGCGTCTCGTGGTGCCCGAGCCTCACAGCAGCTCTGACTTCAAGGTCGCGGATGCCGTCGATGAATTTCTGCACCAGGTTCCCTATAATGAGCGCAGGTACAGACTGGTACGCTTTTCGAACCAGCTTCTCCACCTCAAGGGCCCACTGCTGCAGGTTTTCGTTACTGCGTTGCACGCGATCTTTGAGCTGCGCACGAAAGACGTGTTCCAGGTGAGCATCGCCATATCTCGCCTCCAATGCCTCAAGGAGCTGTTTGTAAGTCACTTCCTTACCGAGAGCTTCCAGAACAGTTAAGGCCTGGTCGCGTAGGCCTAGGGTGAGAGCAGTCATGGCCTGACTTTTATTCCAGCCGTTCGCTTTCATGACAGCCTCGAACTGGATTTTGTAGGCCGACCAGGAAGAACTCCCGTCGAACGGCGGCACTTTGAATCCACGTAGCGAAGGTGTTGTAGCTACCACAGGAGCTGTAACTCCATCCCCAATTTTGAGGTCGTTCAGCGTTTTCTTCACGTCAGCCATCACATTGTCAACCCGATTGTACACTTTGTCGATTCGGGTTTCAGCTTCCGACAGGCGGTTGCCATATTGAGCAACCTTATCCTTCACCTCACTTATTTCTTTCCCGAAGGTAGCGTGAAGGTCCTTCATGAGAAGTATCTGCTCTTCCTTATAGCGTTTAAGCTGCTCTTCCAACCGACGGCCCTGTTCCTCCTGTTGGCGGGCCTGTTCCTCCTGTCCGCGCTGCAGCTGCTCTTCCAACCACCAAGCCTGTTCCTCCTGTCGGTGGGCTTGTTCCTCCTGTCGGCGGGCCTGTTCCTCCTGTCGGCGAGCCTGTTCCTGCAGCATCATCATCAGAGTACCTAAGTCAGGTGCTGCAGATGCAGGAGCTGCTGACGGGCCGGCCTCCGTGGTCGGCAACTGGCCTGCCGACGTCTGTGACGTTGCACCACCAAATCGTCTCTGGTCCGTCTCCTGTTGGCGTTGACTTCGGGTACGGATACCTTCGGTGTCGTCTTTAGGTAAAATCGGCATATTTGATCCCACTTCTGACACCAATTGTTACGCGCTTGGGGTTCGAGACAATTATAAACTGCCGATTGAATTACCAAAATTGACACTTTAATTACACAACACTAATTACAATCTAAAATCACACTAATAATAAAACACAGTTCGCCGTTATTTCGCTTCGAAGTATTCTCTTGTATCGCCAATTCAATACTGCCTTGGTCGTGGTCCATACCGGCCTTATATAGGGCCTCAGACAGTTTCCAGAACCTTCCACTGTAGCGACATCTAGAATGTTCGAGTACATATCGGTTCCGAAATTTCTGGAAGGATCTCGACTCTCCTAGTTCTGCTACTCGACACTAGAGGGCGCTACTGTAACTAGTGTTGCCATGTACAAGACATTAATAGTGGCGCGCAAACCTTTATTTTACTCGACACTAGAGGGCGCTAGTGTAACTAGTGTTGCCATGTACAAGACATTAACAGTGGCGCGTAACAATATGTAAAAATCGCTTTGATCAAATTATAAGGATAATGAAAATTTTGCAATAATTGCAGGCAGACCAGTTTTAATCAGTATAAATATAGATTAGTGGTTGAACTAAAAAGCATATCCATCTTCATACGTTTCATAGACGTCACTATTATCTATTTAAATAATACTACACTTTTAAAATGAAATACCCAAAGGAACTAAAAAAAGGTGAACTTGATGATATTTCAATGATTTTATAAATCTTATTATATAAACATATAAATGTAAATTATTTATATTATTTAATTTATTAGTAACTGAAGGCAAAAATACTACTTCTTCCATTTGATGATAGATAGCGCAGTTTTTATAATCAAAACGTAAATTGTCGGCGGAGTTTTGCATAACAATGCAAGGGTTAAAACTAATTATAAACTTTATTTATAAATTACAAATACAGTATTCATTTGAAGAAAAAAAAGACACCAAATAGGCGGGATGACAGGTGTTTTTTTTACTTCATAACATTATTATCATATATAATAGAAAATTAATTTCTAAAGGAAAGAAAATACTTAACCTTCTTTTTTATGTTCTGTAATCGAATAAAAAGTTGCCCCGGGTTACTATAACAACATTTTTGTGTAAATCATGAATACACATACAAATAGATACATACATAGATACACATACACAGACAGACAAAAATTTTAAAAACCACTGATTTGGCTTCAGTACCCTTTATTTAGTCCCATGGACTTGTTTCTTCAGGAATATATTAGAATTACAAACACGACTTCTCTACAGGATTATTATATGTATAGATAAATTGAGAGGCTTGGTCATGTGTTTTGAACATTTATGTATAAATAGGGGAGGTATGCCATCGCTGCCCTGTATTGGTTTGAAGTTTATTTAGGATAAGAAAAACATTTTTAGTACTAAAGATTATATTATGTTATAGGAGTATATCGTTTGATTCTTTATTATCGTTGACGTTTAGAATATGGGAATAACCATAAGAAGAAGAAGGTTTTTGAAAAACTCATTCTAAAATATTTATTAAATCTCGCATATTTACACGTGGTAGAACCATGCTGCAGCTATTAGTAGTATAGTTGTAACACGAATGGATCAGCTTGAACGGGGAAGGAGCACGCTCTCACAGTATAAAAGCGTAAAATAGCAGCTTAACGCTGCTGTGTTTCGTAAGGAGAGTTTAGAGAACCAGAGACCCTTTTTGCTGGAAAAGAGGCATCCTATCTTATTCCTCACGGGTGACAACATATCTGCATTTTGATTCGTAATCGAAGATAGATGTAGATGTCTATGAACCACAACAACCACTTATCATAAGGTGCACTGTGTGCTCGTTTATCATCCTAATCCTATAAAAAAACATATGTACGTTTGATTTGTGTATGATTCATTTCCTAATTGTAATGCATTAGAATATGCAGATTTGCTATTACGCATAGATTTTAAATAAGACCATAATATTTTAGGATCTTTTTTAAAAGAATTTGCATTTTAATGGTTACGGGGATTTTTATACTTTTTCCAATGTTTATGCTTTTTAGTATCTTTTCTCGAATAATTTGTCTTAGTGATTTAGAATACCAAACAGGCAAATTAAATGAACGGGATAAACAAGTATGTACAAATTTGTCAATTACTAGATGTAGTTGGATATAAAAATTTTGAACTACGACATCAATTGAGTTGCCAACAAAGACTTTTAAGTTACAAATATATTTAAATCTCTTTGGTTACCATTAAGAAGGAAGTCCAGTTGACTTGAGAAAGGGTTTTATTTATTTCTTCGTAATCAACTCGGTAAAAATTTAATTTTGATTATGGTTTATTTTTTAAACTGTGTATTGACAGATCAGATGCGTCGAGCAATAAAGAAAGGATGATATTTTATCGTCGGATACAAGACATGAGAGTAAGGAGATCATTTGAGAACGGGTAACATCTATGTCTATATCAAAGTTTTCTACAAAATTATAGCAGTGCACTCAATGTTTCGAACTAAACGATAGAGATAAAACCAGTAATCAAGACAAACGGCAGTGGGTCAGATAAATTCGGAAAATAAAAGGGCGACAAAGTGCGCAATTATTACATGAACCAATTAGAGCTACTATCGACCCCTCATAATATAAAAACTATTAGACGTACTTTTTATTATACTATTTAGACGTACACTTGTTATTTTGCCTTATCCATGGCATTAAGTCATCTCAATATATACTATATACATACATACATATAATCACGCCTCTTTCCCGTAGGGGTAGGCAGAGACCACTTCTTTCCACTTGCTACGATCCTTACATACTTGTTTCGCTTCGTCCACTTTCATTATTCGCTTCATACATGCTCTACGGTTTAGGGTACTCTTGATCTGGCCTTTTTTTCAAGACGTCCCTGATTTGGTCTAGAAATTTCCGCCTAGGTCTACCCCTTCCAACACTTTCATTCACACTCGCCTTATACACTTTTTTCGTCAATCGTTCTTCTTTCATTCTCTCGACATGACAAGTCAGATGCGTCGTGCAATTTAAACTGTGTATTGACAGATCAGATGCGTCGAGCAATAAAGAAAGGATGATATTTTATCCTCGGATACAAGACATGAGAGTAAGGAGATCATTTGAGAACGGGTAACATATATGTCTATATCTTAATATGTACAAATTTTTCTACAAAATTATAGCAGTGCATTTATATATACCATATAAGGTGATTATATTGAAGAATAATATAAATACATTTTATTTTAAACAAATTGCAAGACGTTGTATATTCTTAAAGCTATGATTTAAGGATCTGCTATGGAACTCAACACCCACTCAGACCGGAAGTCCTTTATCGCCGAAAAACCCGATCGTAATTGACCGAACTTGGCCTTCATTTTGGAGATGGTGGGATACTACGTACAGTCTAACTAGGTAATCATTCCAACATTACCAAAGAATTACATTAAAAATGTAGTAATTTTCATGTAAAAAAAGTTTGGAGACTTACATCTTCAAAAACCTTTAGAATGGCAAAATTAATAGGCACCATCATTGTTGTTGCTGCAGTATTTGTGATCCACATAGAAATAAATGTGGTTACAACACACATTGCAAGTAACAGTCTGAAATTAAAAAAAATGATAGGTAAAGATCAATATATCTAATACATATTGCAAGTAATTTTTTACTACTGATTTGGAAGATAACGTTGTCTTGTAAAGAATCAGTAACTAACAAGCAACCAACAAGGTAAACTCCCGTTTGCACTATTTTCCAACCAAGCACTAGGCAGGTCTTCAACTTACCGACCGCCATACAGTTTTTCTTTGATGACTTTTTATATAAATTACATATATCCGTAGAAGAATTAAAATAGCCCAACGGATCAGTAAGATGAAGTGGCAATCGACCGGCCATAATAAATGTCAACGAATGCGAAAAAAGGTTCTCGAGTGCTGCAGCCTCGTACCGGTAAACAAAGACAGTGCTCCCTACTAAGTGAAGTGACGAAGTGGGAGATGAAGGAAGTCCATGGATGCAGGTACCTCAGGACCGTGCTTTATGACTATGTTCATCAGTGAGCTTGTTGTGGGCTGCAATGATGATAAGGATAATGATAAGCAAAAAGTAAGTTCACCTGCAATCCAACTGTTAACAACAATCTGATATTATAAAAACTAGGAAATATTTTCATTCAGAATGCATTGCAAAAGAACACTACGGCTTAGGTTATTGGCAACGGAATATAAACGTATGATGTATCTTATTACTGTATTTCTGCTGTACATTTCTACATATTTGGCTAAATTTAAAAACATTGAAATTTATATCGAATGTTTATTGTATTAAATTGCGGCAGCGTGAGTGTATTTAAATAACACAATATTTACCTGAAATGAGTAAAGCCAATGACTTTTATGGCGCAGAAAGCTAAGCGTTTATGAAGGCCCGACTGTTCTACCGAAGTAGCCAGTATAAGGCTTCCCAAAAACATGATCAAAGTATCCTAAAATAAAATACAATGTTACTAAATGTTTTTTAGCCTTTTGGCTTTCTTAAGATCACTTTATAAACGTTTAAATAATGATACTGTGTTATAAATTACAATTATTAATTAATTAAGTAGAACAATTACGTTAAAATATAATATGTTAAAATTTTGAATATAGTATGAAAACAGAAAATTTCAAAGTAAAAATATTTTAATAACAGCTTACATTCATGTAGGCCTTACTAGTGTCAGCAGTGCTATTTACTCCCGTCAGTGGAAATACTACAAGTGGCAGGAAGGATGTTATAGTCAATGGTATACATTCAGATACCCAGTAAATTGCCATTACGATAAGACAATATGCACACCATTGGTAATTCTACAAAAAGTAACTGTTTTAATAAAATTGTAAAAATAAATTTTCGGTCAAATTTTATTACGTCCTCAATTTCCGGTTACCATCCACCATTTATTTTTGGAATGAAAACTACTTTAAAATCGTTGTGATTTTAAAAATTTATACTAAAAACAAACGTATACATCTACAGGATTTATCCTGCAAAAGAATGGGATAAAATACAGTGTGGACCGTAACCTCAAAATGTTGTCGGTTCCAATCTGCCATTCGACTACTGTCGTTTTGATAAATACAGTGTTTCCTTTATATCGGTCTCCTCTTTGTGCAGTGCTTTAAAGATGGTTAATATAAATTTTAACTGTTAAAATGAACAATATATAAGTTAATAAATAAATAAATTAATTAAATTAACCATACTTCATAACTTAACCGGGCCACTAGCGTCTATTTTACGTACCACCTTGTGAGTCAATCAATTTTTGTTCGATAAAATGACTTTACCTATAGGCAGTGATGTAGATGGCGATATTACAAAGCAATTTTACTCTCAATAAAACATTCTTTTAGATAATTACACTAAAATTGAGTCTAAAAATAGGATTGCAACATTTATTTCCTATAAAATTAAGCTTTTATCTTATATTTTATGCCGGACTTGTAGCTGAAAATTATCAAATTAAATAAATCATTTACTGCGAAATATTTTTATTTTATATCTAATTTCATTTCAAGTTTTCACTTCTACCGCGTGTGAACTCGACACATGATTTTTTTTTATTTCAAAATTGTCAGCTGCACGGATTATAAATTAAATTACACTTGGAACCGTGGAGTGGCGATGTAAAAGAATTCATCGCGCCATTTCTTACTAAGGGTGTCGTGAATGGCACTTGTGGGAAGTGCTTGAAAACCCTCGGCAGTGTAATCATCACTATTAGCGCTATGCTACAAAAAATATAGACTGGTAATAAGACCGACAAGATTGCGAGACGTTTAGTATAGCGAATAACACATTTAGGTAAAGCAAGTTAGGATCGAATAATATCTAATGATACTACTGTAAATGCATAGTGTAAATTATGGAGTGAATAGCTTCGATAATGCATTAGTTTTAGTTTCTTTCCTTCACGCACCATTATATTTACTGCTAGATATGGGTCGGTCATATTGTGGATGGGATATTCAATTAATGCCCAGTTTAGATAATATAGATTGCATGACGCAAATTTAACATTTTTTCAAGTTGCCAGGATTTACATTTAAACATTTGGCTTTACGAGAGACTTACACCGCCATCAATTGGAGGAAAGTCCTGTCATTTTAAATAATTCTTACGACACCTATAACTGGTAGGGTAATGATTTCTATTACATCACTACCACATGGGTTTTATTTACTTTTGTCAGTTAAATATGCCAAGAAATATAATAAATATGCCAATGTAAGTTATATATGCTCTATAAAAGTCAACAACTTGGTCAAAGCTTTACGGGGGTGATGATGATGATATGTAATATTAGAAATTAAAACAATGCTACCTCTATAGGTGGTGGTAATATAATTGGTAGAGCTAAAAGCGGTGTTAACACACAAACTATTCCTCTCCAATATGCAATGAAGAAGTATTTTAGTTTGTCCTTTATCGTTAGTGGCGTGACGTCTTCTGCATCCTCAAAACTAAAAATGTGAATGAGAAGCAACGTTCATTTATTATTTACTATGTATCTTATAAGTGTTCAAAAGAGTTATTCCGTTTATCCATCTTTTTTGTCAAATTCACCATAAAACTGCCACCCTAAGGTAAAATAAGTTAAATATATTATTCTTTATTATTAGTTCATAGTATGTCTGGATGAAGAAACGGAATACCCGTTGAAAACTTTTTTTTTTTCAGCGAAAAAAATTTTTGTGTTAATATTATTTTATAGAACTTACAAGAAATACAAGCTTTGACTATTCTTAAAGTTTAATCGCTATTTTAATTTTTTTTAACAAAATAGTTACTACTTCACTTTTATTGAAAAAAAATATTAAAACTTACTCCATGCTGGAATATTTTATTGAAAATTGGTTTGATTATACACCGGGCTTTCAAAAATGTTGCTTTATCTGACCGATAAGGAAAGAGAACCTAATATATTTTTAACAAGTTTTTTTAACCAGTTATATTGTCCTAATCATTTAAAATATTGAACCTGGAATAAAGGAGAAAAATTTATGTAAAATAATCACTGTTTTACATAAAAACAGTCAACTGATTCAGAATAACTGAACACCCTTCGCTAGACTAATTAGGGAGAAAACTGCCTTTTTATCGTGACAGCAGTCCCATTATCGACTAGGCCATGCCATGACTTTATATCAAGTTGTCAAATCTTGTATATTTGCGAGTAAAACATTAATTTTATATATGGGTATGTTTTTAAGTAAAAAGTAAAAAAAAAATCAAAAACTAAAAATTATTAATAATTTTTAAAGAAATACAAGTATACCCTCAATCACAGAATCTACTCTGTGGAATATTTTTTCTTTTAGTTTTTGATAATTATTTAGTAAAAAATGGTTAAATTATAAAAAGAATCATGTAATCGATTCAGCAGTTTACCAAGAAATTAGTGAACATACATAAAAATGAGTATCGAATATAGAAACTTCTCGTTTTTTAACTTAGAGCCATGGACATGCTTAGAGCTCTATAAAAATTTCTAAGTGTTGTATTTAAATTGAATAAAGGGACACATTTATTTTTTAAAGTTCAAAAGTGGAGAAAGTATTCCAAGTGTGGCCCTTTCCCCAGTTGAGCAGACCATTCATTCTTTAGCTATAAAACCACATCTTGTAAATCTTAAAATAATAAGATATGAGGTATGCTGGGATGCAGTATCAGTACAATCACAACGCCAGCGTAATTAAAAGAAAAGATTTTCTAATGTGGCGTGCGGCGTAAGTAAAAGTGTCCAATCACATCATTCGAAATCGTTAGACTTCTTCGCAGGTCCGCGTTTATATTCCAGGATGCGTCAAATGGCGGACATTCATATTGTTGGTCATCGTGAACGTCTGCATCTTGTTTTTGTTTTACAAAAACGTTACCCCTTCTTCTCCTGTATCGTGAAATCAGTTTACAAACATAAATTACACAAGGACAAACATCCAAATCCGGAACAATTATTTGTAGGCCATACAAATATTTGTTCCGTGCGGGGTATGTACCCGCGGCCTCCAGTGCCGCAACTCATTGCTAAGCCACTGTCCTACAGAACCGTCACTATCATTACCAAGGTTTTGATTACCACAGCATATCGTAATCATTTAACTGTAATTACCTACCGAACACACCCGTACCTATGGAAAATAAAATCTAAGCCGAGACCCCTCAATTCGCAGAGAGGGTTAAAATTCAAAGAAGAAATGTCGCTATTGCATTTCTTTTTTAAATTTTATATAAGCATCAACAATCTGAAACATCGCAAATATGCACTTGATACTAAACGTAAACATGGAACAGTCGATTAAAGCATCATCTGCAATTAGCATGGCCTTTTTACCTTAAGTTTTTTTTTCTATTTACCTGTTGTTGTGTTCATAAAGGTTATAATATAGAATTAGAGTGAGTAACAAGTTCACAGTTCAATGAATAATAAATTGATGCTGTGGCCCATAGACACGTACAACGTACATAATATTATATTATATTCGATTAAGAGTCAAATGTTGATACGTTGTCGTCCCTGTGGACTTAGATACCAGTTAAAAAAAGAAAAGTATTTCCGGTCGTCTACATTCACTAATGTTGTTTTTCGCTGGTATTCTCTAAGAGGGTGGTTCTTCCAGTCGGGCCGACCCATTCGTGCTTCAAACATAATAAAGCTGCGTCGGTGCTCCATCACCATGGGTATGGGTATGCCAGAAGAAGCATAAAAGTAAGTTGAATGCAGTGGAGATGCGATCTCTTCGTAAAATGTGCGGCGTTACTATGGCCGACCGAAAGCGAAACGAAGAGATTCGCAATATGGCAGGTTTGAAAGATGACCTTATCACAAAAATTGATAAGGGCGTGCTTCGGTGGTTTGGGCACGTTGAGCGAATGAGTGAAGACCGAATGGTGAAGAAAATATATAGCGCGAAAGTTAATATTAAAAGGTGTCGAGGTAGACCGAGACTAACTTTCGAAGACCATGTGAGCAAATTGCTCGAAGAGGGTAGGGTCAAGAGTACTCGGAAACCTAGACGTGCATACATGAAGAAGATAATGAATCTGAAAGAAGCGAAAGAGATATGTAAGGATTGTGATACTTGGCGATCTGTTCTCTCTGGCTACCCCGTCAGGGATTGTGCGTGAAGATAAGTAAGTAAGTAAGTAAGGTGCTCCATCACGTCGATGTAATAATTTATTGTCAATTTAGGCATTGCTATGTACTTTATAAAATTAGTTAATGTTAGAAAAGATTAAAATTTTAAATAGTTTGGTTAAAGGAGATAGAATGGGACTTTAAATTGTATAAATAAATTTTATGCATCGCAACTCAACAATGTTACTGCTTGGACATTTGTAACACCGGGGAAATAACGGGTGTGTAGTCATTTTTTTTTTGAAGTGATAAGTCCGGTAAAAACTAAGTTTCAACCTTTTGTGCTAGAAGTGATTCACGAGCAATCCCTCATTTTTCCACCCTTAGGGGTGGAGCTTCTGCTCCAAATTTATATAGGAGCAAACCTGAAATAAAGCCATTTTAAATAAAAATGAAGTATTCAAATCGTTTAACAATTGGCGAAGTTTCCACGTTACTTACATACAAAAAAGAACTTACAGACCAATTGAGAACCTCCGAATTTTTTTTCTGTCTTTTCTTAATAGATCCTAATAATTAACTTTTGAAATGTATCTCTCCCATTATTAAGTAATGAAGGGAATCTGCCACAATCTGACAGTTGACTAAAGCGATGTTAGAGCGATCTCAGTAGCATATATTTCGCATCTTCGATGTTGCTCGTCGTTGCTAGCCTGGGAGTTAATATTTACTCGTAATTATTACACACGTATTATACCTTTTTTTTTTTTTTTTTTTTTTTTTTATAGGAGAGGGGGCAAACGAGCATGCGGCTCACCTGATGGTAAGTGACTACCGCCGCCCATGAACAACCGCAACACCAGGGGAATTGCAGATGCGTTGCCGGCCTTTTAAAAAGGAGTAGGCTCTTTTCTTGAAGGTCCCTAAGTCGTATCGGTCCGGAAAAATCGCTGGTGGTAAACTATTCCACAAGGAAGTTGTGCGAGGAAGAAAACATCTTCTAAATCGCACAGTGGTGGACCGCCAATCATCCAGATGGTGTGGATGGTATCGGGAGTTCTGCCGCGATGTGCGTTCGTGAAATTTGGCGGCTGGGATTAATCCGAACAATTCCTCAGAGCACTCCCCATGGTAAATGCGAAAGAAAATGCTAAGAGATGCAACATCTCTTCGCAGTGCCAATGAGTCGAGCCGATCGGAAAGGACTTGGTCGTCGACGATTCGAGCCGCTCTGCGCTGGATGCGGTCAAGTGGAAGAAGCTGGCACTGGGGAGCCCCAGCCCAGAGATGGGAACAGTATTCCATGTGAGGCCGAACCTGCGCCTTGTAAAGTTGCAGGCGTTGAGCCGGCATGAAATACTGTCCCGCTCTGCTGAGCACGCCAAGCTTTTTAGAGGCCAATTTGGCCTTCGCTTCCAAGTGACCATGAAACTGCACGCTACTCGATATGTCGACGCCGAGGATTCCGATACTGGCTGAGGCAACAAGGGGAGTACCTTGAAACTGAGGAGATACGACAAAGGGGTTCTTTTTAGCGGTAAACGCGCAAACTTGTGTCTTCTGAGGATTAAACTGGACTAGATTTAGTCGCCCCCAATCCGAGACTTTGTCCAGCAAAGACTCGACTTCAGACACAAGTTTGTTCCGGTACTCGGTGACGTTTTCCCGAGAAATATTGGCACGGCCGGTGTATAGAGCATCACCAGTGCTGTCATCTGCATAGCAATGAATGCTACCAGCTTGCAACATATCATTGATATGCAGAAGAAACAGCGTTGGTGATATCACGCAGCCTTGTGGAACACCAGCGTTAATAGGCTTGTAGTCGGAGCATGCACCGTCTACAACGACCTTGATGCTCCGATCTGCAAGAAAGCTGGTGATCCAATTGCATAATTTCTCGGGAAGCCCATAGGAAGGGAGCTTCGAAAGAAGCGCTTTGTGCCAAACCCGATCGAAGGCCTTCGCAATGTCCAAACTAACGGCCAATGCCTCCCCCTTGGACTCTACTGCCAACGCCCATCTATGAGTTAAGTAGACCAGAAGATCACCAGCTGATCGACCCCGACGAAAACCGTACTGGCGGTCACTAATCAGCTGGTGATCCTCAAGGTACCGCATGAGGTGGCAGTTTACAACGGATTCCATTATTTTGGAGAACAAGGGGGTGATGGCGATAGGCCTGTAGTTGGACAGATCTGAGCGGTCGCCTTTTTTAGGGATCGGGTGGACAAAAGCTGTCTTCCATGATTTCGGGACTACGCCTAGGGAGTAGGAGTACCGGAAAAGACGCGTTAGAACCGGTGCCAACTCCGGAGCACACGTCCTCAGCACAATTGGGGGGATTCCGTCAGGCCCACTCGACTTGTGGATGTCAAGGGAGAGGAGTGCTCTGCGAACCGAGCGCT